CCCACAACAACAAAACCATCTGGGCAAAGAGTGACCAACCCACCCATGCTCGTGTCCCCCGATCGGTGTTCTTTGGGGCTAAGACGTTGTTCGTGCAGTGTGGGCTCCACCAGAACAGTTTGTGGGTTGACGGGCACGCCGCCAACACCCTTAACCTGGGAAAGAACAAGGAGAAGGTTTTCGAGGTGAAGGTGGAGGAAGCCATCTTGAAGATCAGCTTTGGGACGGGGTGGGAGGAGTACCTGAAGGAGGACCAGGAGTGGAGGAACCTGGTGCAGACTCAGAAGGGCAAGTTACAACGCGCCGGCATGGACAGGGGTAAGGGCAAGGGAAAAGTCGCTAATGGCGCTCAGCGCCATTAGGAACTTGCACGGCATTTCGGTTTTCAGCAGGACGGCCAGCAGGCAGGAGACACTGGAGATCAACATGGTCACCGCACTTCGCCCTCACCGTCACGTGCTTCACCATACCCGTATCCTTGTTCCTCCTCTTCTTCTCCAGCAAATCATGTGCCAGACGGTTTTCATCGGCAGCGAGGAAGCCCAGGACATGTTCGAGACCCTCGCCCGCGAGTTCCAGCAAAGTTTTGCAAAATTGCATCCTGGAATGTGGAAGGGCTCGGAATATCCATAAACAGTACGAAAGTGTAGCAAATCATGAGCATCACGAGGGAACGTGACATTGCTATCGTCTGTCTCCAAGAGACGCACATCCCAGCCGCACCATATTTCATCTGCGACGGCTTCCTGCTGATCCTATCTGGAGGACCAGAGGGACAGCGAGAATATGCTGGTATGGGTTTTCTAATATCTCCTCGGGTCAGGCACTCTATTACGGGATTCACCCAGTACAACAACCGTTTGGCCAGCGTGTCCCCTATCTGGCATCGCATTCGAAGAGCGACACGAGTTCTTCAGCAATTTACATTGTTTGACTACGAGCATCAGCGTGCACCAGCCCATCTACACCTTTGGTGACCTCAACGCAGGGCTCCCCAGCGGGATCCACGAAGAGTCCGATGTGGTAGGCCTGCATGTTTGGGGCAATTCCGAGGCGACGATTGGGGCCACGAGCAACCAGCACATGCTGATTGAACATTGCACGTCTCTGGATTGCATTATCGCCAACACGTTCTGCGAGAGGCCCTTACAAGAGAAAGTCACGTACTTCGACTTGAGCGCGTCTCCAATGAACACCCCGACGGAGGCCAAGTTCGCAGGGATAGACCACACGCTGGTGCACAGACTGTGGCGGAATTCGGTTGCTGACGTTCGCTCTGATCGATGGTTTTGCATCCCACCATTTTCTGGTGACAGCCACGTTGGACATAGATATCCTAAAGACTCCGGCGAAACAGAGGAAGTCGACGTACAGTTTGGATTCGTTGACACAGCCACGGGTGCAACGCGAGTTCGGTGCAGCCTTTGTGAACGCCGCCGCCGTCCAGCACGTAGGAGGCGTCTCTGGACTAGCCGGGGGACTTGCAACCAGCTTCAAGACAGCTGCGGACGAGTGCCTCAACCAACAGCCCGTGCGTGCGCAACGGCGGTGGATTCGCGCGACTACGTTAGATTTGATTGCTCTTCGGAACCAGGAGCGTACCCACAGCTGATACGAGTTAGAAAAAGCGTTGACCAGACAACAACGTCAATCAGCGCAGCGGGACCGAAAGGCCTGGCTCGAAGGCATGCTTGGTAGTGGGGAGTGGAGTAATCTACGGAAGTTCAAACGCTGGGGCATGCAGCCGCAGGGACGTCTGAGGAACGCTCAAGGAGAACTTGTGGAAAAAGCAGACCGACCAGACATGATGGGATCCTACTACGCGGACGTGCAGTGGATGCCACGACCCATGGGGCACCCTCGCCCCAATGGAGCACGGTTTCACGACCCCTTGCCCGCTTCGTCTGCTGATTTCTCGACCGGTGAATTGGACGCTGTTCTGCGGAGGCTGAAGACTGGGAAGCCGGCAGGTGCCGACGACGTGCCCCCGGACTTCTGGAAAGCACTCCGAGATCAGCCGGACGCGGGCGAGGTCATCTTAGACATGTGCAACAGATGCTGGCGGCAGAAGACGATTCCACAGAGCTGGCCGCATTCAGTTGCAACGGCGATCTTGAAGAAGGGAGATGAATCGCTCCCAGAAAATTACAAACCAATCTCCCTATTGGCGGTCGGACATAAAGTCCTAGCTTCGCTCATATTGAGTTGCATCGTAGGACGCGGGGCAGAGAGCCGCCTCCGCGACACGCAGTTTCGCTTTCGGACTAAGCGCAGTTCAACGGACGCCGTCTTCCTCATGCAGCGGCACATCGAGAGGGCATGGTCGACCAAGGAAGGGTCTGTGTCCGCGATCCTCCTGGACTGGTCAAAGGCTTTTGACCGAATCGACCCGTCAGCCATGCACGTTGCTCTTGCGCGCTTGGGTTGCCAGACCATTACTTAGCAATGATCTCGGCCATTGATGACAGCCGAACGTTCGAGGTCCGAGATCGACAGGGCTCTTCTGCAATTCATTCGCAAGGGACGGGTATTGCACAGAGATGCACGCTAAGCCTATATTTGTTCATCATCGTTCTCACAGTCATCATGGCCGATGTCGACGAGGACGTTCAGGCGGTCCTCGGGCCGGCCCCGCCGACTGACATCAACGTCGACATAGAGTACATCGACGACACTGCTCTGATATCAGACAACATTCCGCGGCTGAAGTTCGTCTTGGAGAGATTACTGTCTCGAGCCAACATGTATGGACTGGAACCGAATTGATCTAAATCGATGAATTCACCGGTCCGCCACAACGTGAATGTGTTCACGCCGTAAGGCGCGCTGATCAAGCCGGCGAACAGCGCCATTTATCTCGGCAGTCTTCTGAAGGCAGATGGGTCTGCAGGGGCCGCCATCGCGAGCAGGATTGGCGAAGCATCGGCGGCCTTCGACACTTTGCTCAGTGTCTGAAAGCATGCGAACATCACGTGTGCCAGGAAGACGGAGACTTACAGTGCCTGCGTAGTGTCGAAATTGTTGTATAGCCTGGAGACGCTTTGTTTACGCCAGGCGGACAAAAACAAGATCGATGCCTTCCAAGCTCGTTGTCTGCGAGAAAGGTCTACAACTTGCCACATTCAATGATCTCACACATATCGAATGAAGCAGTCAGGCGGCAAGCTCGCCAACATCGACTGAGCGTTGCAGTGTTGATGCGGCAATTGGTGGTGTATGGGCGGATTGATTCCCAGCCAGACGAGTCGCCACTGCGGGCTGCTGTTCTGGCGCCTGCGTCACTGGAACCAGCGCGACCGGCTGGCGCTCGAGCGCGAGGACGACCCCGCCTGAGATGGACAGCAGTGATCTGTGAGCAGGCTAAGCTAGCGATGACCTCTCCCTCCCTCCCTTCCCGCCCCCTCCCTTCCCGTCCCCCTCCCCTCCCTCCTAATGAGGCGCTGTACGCATTATTCAGGAACCCTCGTATTGCAGAGCATGGACAAGCAATTTGGAAAGCAATTGTTAAACACTATTGTCTTTCCGTTAACCCCATAGATGCCTAGGTGCAACCGATGTGTCGTGCGACATGGCTTGCGAACGAACGAACGAGGAGGTCCATGACGGCCCAAGCAGCCTCCAAAATGGTCCCAGGATCGCCCCAGAGGCCCCCAAAATGACCCCAAGACGGCCCAAGAGGGCCCCGAGACGGCCCAAAAAGCCGCCAGGACGGTCCAAGAGACCCCAAGACGGCCCAAGAGGACCCCACGAGAGCCCTAAGGCGGCCACGAGAGGCCCAAACGGTGGCCTCCGAAGGAGCCGAACGGCGCGCAAGAGCGCCCCAGGACGGCCCAAGACGCCCCCAAGAGACCCCAAGAGGCTCCAAAGAAGCCCCCCAGAGGCCCCAAGAAGCCCACAAGAGGCCTCCAAGAGGCCCGAAAGAGGCTTCCACCAGGCCCCACAACGTCTGGACTGCACGTGCTCCGGACGTGCACCCCGCGAAGCGAGAGGAATCCACGTCCAGAAGTGACGTGTTGCCGGAGGCAGGTCCGCCGATGCTGTAATGCAATGGATCCAACATATCCAATAGTTGCATACCTGCTACATATTGTATTGTGTTACATTATTATGTCTCCCGCCCTACTCCCCCCTGGAATCGCGCCACTTCCGTCGACCCAAGCGTGACGGACCTCTTTTTGGCTTCAAAACCTACAGAAACCTATGGAAACTCGATGGTTCGGGCCCCTGGGGCCTCTTGAGGGTCCAAGAGTGCGTCGAGACGGCTCAAAATCGCCTCAAGACGGGCCAAGACGCCCCCAAGACGGTCCAAGATGACCCCAAGAGGGCCCAAGAAGCCCCCAAGAAAGCGCAGAGGGCCCAAAGAGGCCCTCCAAGAGCGCCTCCAGAGGCCAAAGTCATTGATTGTCCTCAGGTTTTTGAAGGATCTTAGTGTTCTCATCATTTTCTATCCTTAAGAGGTCCATGACGGCCCAAGCAGCCTCCAAAATGGTCCCAAGATGGCCCCAGAGGCCCCCAAGAGGACCCCAAGACGGCCCAAGAGGGCCCCAATACGGCCCAAAGAGGCGCCCAGGACAGTCCAAGAGACCCCCAAGACGGCCCAAGAGGACCCCAAAAGAGCCCTAAGACGGCCGCGAGAGGCCCAAAGAACGGCCTCCGAAAGAGCCAGACGGCGCGCAAGAGCGCCCCAGGACGGACGGCCCAAGACGCCCCCACGAGGCCCCAAGAGTCCCCAAGGAAGCCCCCCAGAGGCCCCAAGAAGCCCACAAGAGGCCTCCAAGAGGCCCGAAAGAGGCTTCCACCAGGCCCCACAACTTCTGGACTGCACGTGCTCCGGACGTGCACCCCGCGAAGCGACAGGAATCTGTTATCATCCCCCCTGGGCCCCGAGCTTTATTATCCCCATGGTGTGATTATCACCAGCAGAAGGTTAAGACGCATGCGAAGATTCGGCTTCGCTTCTGCGAAAGAAGATCACTGGGTTTCAGACCCCGGCGAGGCCCTCATGTCGTCCCGTCAAGTTCGGCCTTCGGTGAAGCAGTCGCTCGAAGTCGCCCGGGGTACAGCAAGGAGGCGAGCCAGACGACCAACAAGACGACGAGCACAACCTCGATGGCTATGCTCTCGGAAGGCATGGCGACTCCGACTAGCACCCAGTAGGAGACGTAGATCGGAAGGTAGCCAATCCCGAAGACCGCGAATGAGCGCCCGAGCTCCTGGCAACGGTTCGCGCCGCGATGCCGGAAGCACTTCGCCATCGCCACTATGTTGGCGCGCATGAGCGGCCAGAGGAGAAAACTGATGGTGAGGGTTCGAACGGCGCGCTTGAGAGTCAAGAAAGCGTCGAACGGGCCGTCCAAGACAATGGCGGTAACGTAGTCGAGGAAATACCACATCGAAGGAGAGGCGGAGATGAGGCATGAGGTGTAGCTCACTGGCCGGGCCACCATGACCTGAAGCGCCTCCGAGAGCTTGGTCTGGACCTCCTCGTTGAAGCGCGTCTTGCCGTCACGGCTTTCCGCTGCGGTGCACGACTGGCTTTTATCTGCCAACATCTCGAGCGATGAACGCGGCGTGCCGCTCCCGTACCAGCTGTCGATCGCGGCGTAGACCATCTCGCGGTCGCACAGGAGCGCAGACCCCGTCACTGGGTCCGCGTGCTTCTGCTCGCAGCAGAAGCACTTGGTCTGGGCCACGTCGTGTGCGCGCAACAGCTCCGGCATCGACAGGAGGTCCCGCATCACTGGCCTCGCCGACATGGCGAGGGGGAGCGGGGCTAAGAGGGCGGCGACCTTCGCGCAGTCGCTGATCGGCACGCTGGGGAAGTGCGTGCCAACGTAGACGCCGCAGTGGCTGAGCAACACGATGGAGAAGAAGACGCCCGTGAACACCGCGTCGCTTGGCGGCAGGAAGACGATCGAGCTGACGTCCTTGAGCCGCAGCCACGCGGCTACCTCGAAGGCACACCACATCCGCGAGAAATACCTGGGCGTGCACAGCATGATCATCCGATCCGACTTATGGAGGAAGCCGCCGAGCGAGTGCACGCCCCGCTCCTTCTGAACGGGATCCCGCTGGTTGATGCACATCTTGTCGACGAAGACGTACAAGGGCTGCAGGACACACTCACGGCAGACCTGAGGGGGAACGTCAGGGGGGTGGCTGGCTCAGGGTGACGGAGCATTGACCTGAAATCGGTGACGCCGATAGATTGGCCATGGGCTCTCGATAGCGGAACCGCACGCTTCCAGGCGGGGTGAGCCATTTGGAGAGGAATCGGCGATTGGGGGTCGATGCTTCCCTCCCTGAGTAGATATCCCCCTATCGTTGCAGAACACTGTTTTATCATCATTTCTCGGAGGTCCGCGCGGATTTCTCGGATCGGCGCTGGACCCCCCTCCCTGGCGCGCGTGGCGCGCCATGTGCGGCGCTGGAGGCGCCGACCCGAGGAATCCGCGCGGACCCCTCGAGCTCTTGTGTTTCTGTCATTGTTTGTTCCTCTGTGAAGACCTGCCAGTAGAGGAGGACGAAGAAGAAGGTGCAAATGCCGGCGGGGAAACACCAAACGCCGTGGGCCTCCTCGTACTCCACCCCAGCCGCCAGGAACCGCTCCGGCTTCTTCCGCTGCACCAGCACGCCAGTCACCTGCAGCGTCAAGACCAGCACGCCCACGGCGAAGCTGGCGCAGAGCGCTGGGACGCCGTTGAAGTACACGGCGAGGGTCAGCAGCTTCACCTTCGGTAGCAACTCATGGAAGCCTCCCATAACATCTTATTGGCTCTTGCAGATCGACGCTAATCGACGCTGTTCGACACTATCAACGCCAATTGACGCCAATCGACGCTGAGCCAGCGCTATCTCATTGATTACCAGGCGGCCCTCGACCTGAATCGACCATAAAGACGGAATCGACACGGTATGCAAAACCCTCACTATTTTTAACTGAATCCCACCAGCCCTTTGGGCGTGAGTGGTTTAGAGAGCCCCCTCTGTCCTCAACCCCCCAACCCCCCTTCTTCCCCTTCGGGGAGGGGTTTACCCCTCCCCCTACCCCCTCCCCCTGGGCCTGGACAGGGAGTCCCGCGGGTGGTCAGGGGGGTCCTTTTCGACGCCTGGGAGGGCCAAAAAACGACGACCCTCACGAGGATTCTGGCCCCGACGGGGGGGCGCTCTTGTAGCCCCCTCCTCTTCTGTGAAGCCAAAATCCTTGCTTTTACGAGGGTGTTGGCCCCATTTTGGCCTCCCGAGGGGGCCGCGCTCATCTTCCTTCCTAGCAAAATCATTCATTTTACGAGGGTTTTGGGCTCGTTTTGTCCTTCTCAGGGGGTAGCGCTCATTTGCGCTTCTGAGGAGGTCGCACGAGGCCCCCAAGAGGCCCCAAGATGCCCCCAGGAGGCTCCCAAGAGGCTGTCCTCAACCCTTCTTCCCCTTCGGGGAAGGGTTTACCCCTCCCCCTACCCCCTCCCCTGGACCTGGAGAGGGAGTTCCGAGTGGTGTCAAGGGGGCCTTGTTCGACTCCTGGGAGGGCCAAAAAACGACGACCCTCACGAGGATTCTGGCCCCGGGGGGGGGGGGGTTGGTGCCTCAGCTCGTCTTTGAAGCAAGAATCATTGATTGTACTACGGTTTGGGCCCATTTTGGCCTTCTGAGGGGGCCGCGCTTATCTTCCCTCCTAGCAAAATCATTGATTTTACGAAGGTTTTGGGCTCATTTTGTCCTTCTCAGGGGGCAGCGCTCACTTGCGCTTCTGAGGAGGTCGCAAGAAGCCCCAAGATGGCCCCAAGAGGCCCCCAGGAGGCTCCCAAGAGGCCTCCAAGAGGCCCCCAAGAGGCCCCCAAGAGGCCCCAAGAGGCCCCCAAGAGGCCCCCAAGAGGCCCCCAAGGGCCCCACGAGGCCCCCAAGAGGCCCCCAAGAGGCCCCCAAGAGGCCCCCCCAAGAGGCTCCAAGAGGCCCCCAAGAGGCCCCACGAGGAGCCCGAACGACTCACACCAGGACGAGGGGCCCGAACGACTCACACCACGAAGAGCCCGAACGACTCACACCACAAGGAGGGGCCCGAACGACTCACACCAGGACGAGGCGCCCGAACGACTCACACCACGAGGAGCCCGAACGACTCACACCACGACGCGGGCCCCGAACGACTCACACCACGAGGAGCCCGAACGAGTCACACCAGGAGGAGGGGCCCGAACGACTCACACCAGGATGAGGGGCCCGAACAACTCACACCACGAGAAGCCCGAACGACTCACACCAGGACGAAGAGCCCGAACGACTCACACCACGAAGAGCCCGAACGACTCACACCAGGAAGAAGGGCCCGAACGACTCACACCAGGACGAGAACCCCCAAACGACTCAAATCACGAGGAGCGCTTTCTCTCCCTCCTCCTCCGCCTCGTCCTTCTCCCGCTCCCCCCACAAGGAGGATTCACAAGGAGGCGGGAGGAAGGAGGGACAGGGGAGATATACGGAGCCCAGCGGACACACACCTGAAAAACAAAACTGTCGACATGCTTCGCGAGAGCTGCTGCTGTGAGATGGGCTGGTGGGGATACGCGAAGCGTAAAGAATTCACCTATCGGCCAGTACCCCAGTCGTGGGAGACGAAGCAGTCGAGGCGGTCCCGCTTCCGCGTGCGCTCGTAGTGGCTCTGCCTCCCAGCGGAGCTCGCCCAGACGTGGCCGAGGCCGCTGAAGCAGGTCTGCAGCGGCGCCCCGCGGAGCTCCACCAGCATCTCCTCCGTCGCGTCGCGCAGGGTCAGCGATCGGCGGGATACTTCTAAGCTCGCGCGGGCGAGGCCATCGGGCGGATTGGAGTCGATGCTCCCCTCGCTTGGCCAATGCCCCCCCGCAGATGCCCCTGAAGGGGCCGGCAATGCGGGATTGCGACCGGGAGCAACCACCACGGCTGGGATCGGGGTTGCAACAGACGCACGCATCGCAAGGCCTGGTATGCAAGCATGCCGGAACGCAGGCTAAGACCTGAGCTTTGATGGCCGCGCGAACAACAGCAGCCCCATGAACACTCAAACGCCCCAGGCTAACAAAGGCGCGCCTCCCGCTCCCAAGCGGCCACGTGTCGAACGCACACTTCCTATTCGGGCTATACATCCACGATACCCGTTGACAACACAACTTACACTGGCGTCTTTTACACAATCTGAGCGGGACGGGTCTGGCGACTGGCGCAGAACGACGCCTTTTCTGTTAGGCAGAAGCGCCTGCGGCCCGCTGCGGTCAGTTGCGGTCCGCTGCTGTCCGCTGTGGTCTGCTGCGGCCCGCTGGGGTCCGCTAACGTCCGCTGGGGTCCGCTAGGGCCCACTGCTTGGATGCATCAGGTGGTGCCATTTGGTTAGGGTGCTTGAAACCACCTAAATCCGTTGATATCCAGATGCATATCTTGTGTAACGCAAAATCAAGACAGTCATATCGCAATCAGTTTATAAAGTGCTCCACCCAACCACGCTAGCCTCGAACATAGTTATCATACGTGGAAGGAATATGGTTATATGTGGTCTGAACAGAAAAAACTATGACTCGCGCGATGTCTTTTAGGGGGACAGCTTGTTGTTGCTGACTATGGCATGGCATTTCATTTGTTTCGAATAGGCTACAATTGGGAATGAATGTGTGTTCGCAGGTTTCGCGTGTGTGTATATATATTCCTGTGATGATGGCGATGCCATCGTACCATGGCAAAACTTACCAGCAGACACAATGCAATTGAGTCATGTTTGTTTAAATATCATATATATATATATACAAACATACATACATACATACATACATACATGCATGCATGCATGCATACATACATACATACATACATACATACATACATACATACATACATACATACATACATACATACATGCATGCATGCATGCATACATACATACATACATACATACATACATACATACATACATACATACATACATGTGTGTAAATATGTATATATATATATGTATAGATGTGTAAAGCAAAACAAACAAACAAACAAACAAACATACAAACAAATAAACAAACAAACAAACAAAACAAACCAAACCAAACCAAACCAAACCAAAACAACAACAGCAACAACAACAACAACAACAAAACAAAAACGCGCACGTACAGCTCCCCTGTACCATTGGTTGCTGTTTCCGCCCATCCCCCGTCGATTTCAACTAGAGCCACGAGCGCGTTTCGCGCGCGTTTAGGCTCTAGACGGCCCTATGAGCCCTGTGGACCCTACGACCCCCACGAGACCGACGAGACCAATGTGCCCGATGAGTCCTATCACCCCTACGGGCCCTATGGACCCTATGAACTGCATGAGCCCCATGAGCCCCTGAGTCCACTCACTCCGGCGATCCCTACGCGCCTTGTGACCCCCAGTCGCCAGAAGAGCCGTATGAGGTTTACGAGCCCTACGGCTCCAGAAGCCCCATGTGACCTCCGAGCCCCATGTGACCTAGAACTCCTACAGGCCCGATGAGCCCGACAGGCCCTATGACCTACGTCGAGCCCTCAGGCCCGTGTGAGCCCTACGACCCCACAACCCCCACGAGCCCTCAGAGCCACACGAACCCCATGACCCCACAGCCCCTGCACGCTTCTCGGGGCTACGAGCCCTACAAACCCCACGCTGGAGTGCAGGCAGGACATTGCGAACGAGCAACGCCGAGCCCTTCCGGTCAGGTTACATCCCTGCTCGAATCCATGCGCCTCTCCAACGTCCTCGCCCTTATCTTCGATTTCCATTCCACCCACTCTCTGCCTCTACCTCCTGCGTTCTCCTGCGTTCTTGCCCTCCTCCCTCGCGCGCTTCTCTGCGGATTCTTCTTTCGCACAGTTGCTGCTCTCCTCACTTCAGTGGCCACTCGGCTCGAACTTATTTCGCTTCGCGCTCTGCTTCCTCTCCGTTCCCCGTGGCAGCAAACCCACCCGCCAAACGCAAGCATCGATGTTCACAAGGTGACGTGCCACCTTTGACCACGATCGACGAGCCCTACGAACCCCATGAGCCCTACGAGACCTATGCGCCTTATGACCCCTACGAACCCTATGACCCATGCGGGCCCCGCGGGCCCTATGGGCCTATGCCGCTCAGGGGGCTCAAAAGGCCCAAGAACCCCAAGAGCCCTTTCAGCCTCATGGATTCCACGGCACACGCTACCCCTGAAAGCCTTAGGAGCCCTATGAGCTCCATGAGCCCCGTCGACCCCATGAGCCTTACGACCCCGACGACCCGTCCTGAACCTGATCACCCTTCTGGGTCCAGTGGGAAAAATGGCCCCTTATGAATCCCATACGCCGAGGAACCCCCATGAGCCGACGCGGTTTACAGCGCCAAAGAGCCACGGGTTTCAGCGATGCCAAGGGGCCTACGCGCCTCCATGTCCAATAAACTCATCAGCCCAAGGGGCCCTCTGAACTCAAGTACGGCTGCGGGCTCTGGGAACCTCATGATCCCCAGGAGCCGCGCTGCCCGAAGTGCCCCTCCTCCACATTGCCGACCTGAGCTTTTACGCTCCGGCGGCGGCGAAGAGCCTTTTCAGCCCTCTGACACAAAGGACCCAATGGGTCGTATCAGCCCTGCGGGCATCATGGGCCCCATGGGCCTCGTTCCCGAATGGGACCGCCGTGCGGGCGACTACGGGTCGCGGCGAACCTCGCTGACGCCATGCGAACAATATTGAAAAGGCGAAGCGATGCGAGCCTTAATATATTGTGCGTATATATACACATACATATATATATATATATATATATATATATATATATACACACACACCGACCCCCGCTTGCTGCGGGTGAGAAGTCGCGTGAGATGATTGGCTGTCCCCCTCCCCCCCCCCCTCCTCAGGGTCCGAAATCTGGTTTAAGGGGGTGTATCCAAGCTCGTCGGCGCACCCCCGAAGATTCCGCAGCTTCCAAATACGCCCTCCGTGGCCTCAAAGACGTTCCAAGATGGCCCCGAATTGCAGAAAGATGAGCCAAAGACGCTTATGATGGCTCCAACACGCCCCAAGACGTCTTCGAGACGCCCCAAGAGCCTTCCCAAGAGGCCAGAGGCAAGAATCACTGGTGTTCCCTAGATGTTCCACTGTTTCTGGGGCCATCGTTTTCTCGAGCTCCCGACGCGCCGAGACGGCCGAAGAGGCCCCGCAGACCGCCCCAAAACTGCCCAACAGGCTCCTACGAGGGCGCCAGGACGGCCCAAGCGGGTTCCAATCTGGCCCTCAGAAGGGGCCCAAGACGGCCAGACATCGCCCCAAGAGGGCCCCAAGTGAGGCAAAGCGGAAGAACACTGACTTAACATCCCACCTTTCCCCCCGAAGGGGCCGCCCAAAGGCCCCACGAAGCCTCCAGGCGGCACAACAGAGGCCCCCAATAAGCCCCAGGAAGCCACCGAAGAGGCCCGAGGGAGGCCCCAAAACGGGCCCAAAGACGATTCACAACTGCCTCCAAGAGGCTCCGCCAGGACCCCAAACGGCTCCCAGGACGCCCACAAGAGTCCACAAATAGTGCGCAAGAAGCCCACGACGCCTCAACCGTGTGAATACAGATATATGTGTGTATATATATACACACATACACTAAAACCATCCCGCGCGCTTCGCGCGCGCTCAGGTTCTAGTTGAGGCCACCGCTCAAGTGCGATGCCCGCGACGACTCTTACCACGAAGAAGGCGGCGCGCACTGCATGCCACTTGTGCCGGAAGCGCGCTTCTGGAACATGGGAACAGAGATCCCCGATCCTCATCGTCCTGCTGTGCTGCTTTCTCCGTTATTATTCCTCCCTCTTCCTTTTCTGCTCCTCCTCTGGGCGCTCCGCGCGACGCTGTAGTGCGCGTCGTCTGGGACCTTGGAGAAAGTGCTGAAGTCGTCGGCGCCGCCATCGTCGTCATCGTCGTCGACCTCGTCGTCGTCGTTGCCGTCTTCGTCGTCGGCTTTCTCGTCGTCGCCGACGTCCTCGTCGTCCTCTCGTTTCCTCGTCGGCGTCGACGCCGTTTTCATACTTGGTTTTGACGTCCTGGTGGATTTCTTGGAGACAGTTTTGAAGCATCCTGGGAGCTGTTTGGGGGTTTATTCGAAGCCTGTTGGGGGCCTCTTGGGGGGTTCCTGGGGCACCCTGGGGGTCTCTCGGTGCCTCTGGGGGTGGCCTGTCGGGATTTCCTGGCGCCCTCTTGAGGCGGAAGGCTCAGATTTCTGTTCGTGGTTCCTCCCTGTAGCCCGCCTTGGGACCGTCCGAAGGCGTGCCAGGGCCGTCTTGGGCGCCTCTTGGGCTGTCTTGGGGCCTCTGGGGTCGTTCTGGGGCTCTATTGGGGTATTGGGGTCATGTTGGAGCGGTTTCGGGGGCCTTTGGGGTCGTGCGACGGGTTTCCGAAAACGCGCGATTCCGAAAAGCCTTCAAAGACGCCTGGAAAATTAAAAAAAATTGGCCTCTTCGGGCTCTCTCGGGAATGCTCGGGCAACGCCGACAACGGTAGACACGATGATGATAGTAGCGATGCTGGCGACGATGTTGACAGCGACGACGGCGCGGCCAGTGCGGGCGCCGATGCTAATCACGCCGCCGACAATGACGGCGTCCTCGCGTCGGTGATGAAGGTCTTGGTTTCGGAAAAAGTTCGACATGCGCGCGCGGCCGACGCGCCAGAGTGGCCCGCATGGCATTATTTGACGCGGATCGTGCCTCCCCAACACGCGCGCGAAGGCGCGCGAATGATGTCGGCATGCGGCGCGAGAGGCCCGCTCGGCAGAATTCTACGAACATGTTGGAAGACCGGTGGTCTTCTCAAGAATTCGCAAGAGTGCGAGCGCACGCTTGTTTTGAAAAGTGCTGTTGCGAAACCATATGTGTTGCAGGTTTGTTGGGCACTCGGCTTCGACATCGCTACGAAACCTTAGGTGTTTGACGGATTTCGGCACGCGCGCGGCGACGCGCGCGCGCGTGCACTTCGTCCGATATGTTGCAAAGGATTCTCGCGACTGCACGTGCGCAGGGGCGTTCGGACGATTTCGACATGCGCGCGACCGAAGCCCGTTTGGTAGTATGTTCTGAAAATGTTGAACAACCGATGGTTTTCTCAAGAATTCGCAAGAGCGCGCGAAAACTTGTTTTGAAGATC